AATTTCGAGCCCCTTTTAGCACACTATTGAACACCTCAAATAAATTAGTTGTCATTATTTCATAACGTTAACCACCATCATGTGCCAATGCCCATTGTTGCACCGGTATCTCATCTAACCATTTTCAAGCTTCAAGATTAATCTTTTTCTATCTTTTTCATTATGGTATCAAACTTTCATAACTGATGTGCATTTTCAGCTTTATACATAAGTATTTTCAAGTTTTTATTATGAAACTTAGCATTGAAATTACTACATATATGTCACAAGCAAAATCGATGATAAGCCCATAGTTCTTGCCATCATTCACTGCTGCACAGATATCGCAATGACGATCAGATATCAAATAAATCTCTTTCTGTTGAGTCACTTTCTCTCTAATGCAATTACAAAATCATATCTAACTATCAAAAGATTCTTTCTCAACAATAATAAATACAAGTGGCAAAAGCTGGTTATTAGCATCAACTCTAATTGCAATAAGCATTTTACCTTTATATCTTCCATACAAATGAGTAGCATCAATACTTATAATTGGTCTACAATACTTGAACCCTTCAATGAAAGGTGAAAAAACCCAAAAGAGATGGTGGAATAGTTTGAATACTCTAACAGTAGAATCACGAAACTGCTTAAATTACCATATAACAATCATTCCATTATACTTTTCAAGTGCAGCAATAAATTTAGGTAATACCCTATAAGATGTGTCCCAATCACCAAAACATTTGTATAGGTCTTCTGTTTTGCATGCCATATCTTCTTGTATGAAACATCATAAGAAAATTTCTCTTACCTTAGCATTCAAAGCTACAACTGTAATCGAAAGTTCAACTTTCACTTAAATTTTAATCTCATGTGCTAACAAATTTGAGTTTAGTTATGGGTGATCACGACTTAACCTTAGGTAGACACATGTATGAGGGCCATCATATTGAGTAATCTCAAAAAGTCCATGACTTTTATGTTGATACGCATGAATCTTCCATTTGCATCCATTTTTTCTATGTCTTTTACACCTCAATGATCATATCTTTTTCTTTTTGTTTCCACCACTTCATACTTTTGATGTCTCTTGATGGAGTACAATTGTATAGGTTTTTTCAATTTTGCCTTATCTTGGAAAATTAAACCTTTCCTCAACTCAAGATCAAGATTCCAAATAAAACTTTGGCTTTGTGGTGTCCAATTACTAGTAATACCATCATCAACTTGATAATATTGGTGAAAAATGACATGTTTGGCTCATGAAGTGGCACCTCTATAATGGTACTATCAACTTATAGGTTGACATCTTCAAAATATTCTTACTCTTCATGTTCCTCATTTTCTTCTTCAAGTATTTCATTATTCACATTCATATCCTTGAATATATCATTAGATTTAGAATAAACCAATTGTTCCACTGTAGTTATATTTACACTTGTATCTTTGTCATATTGGCTAATACTTTTGTAATTTAAAAATCCAAAAATATTACTTATGACTGATACTTGCCTTTCCATGGTAGGTTCACTACTACTTGGCAAAATTGGATGATTAGCATGGTGGGCATTAGCATGATCTAATGAAATGTCATTGTCTTGTGTTGGCAATTGAGCAAATGGAACAAAACTTATGGATTGACCCTTATATTTAACAGGTCCAATAAAAATTGATTCCATTTCTAAATACAATTCAACATTGCTAATAGAAGGATGAATAAATGGAATTTCCAACATGATATCTACGTTGGCATCATCCATAATAGGTAAACGAATATATTTAATCATTGATGATTGCACTATTGTTGGATACCGAAAAACCAAATTTAGTCGTGCTCGCTTTCTATCAAATCCTGTAATACAATACATCTTGTCCATCAATGTGTTGAATTTTGTTTTTTGCTTCAGTTTAATTGCTCTTAAAAAGGGACCATCATAACACAAGCCATCTGATCCTTCAATGAAGCTACCATTCCAATAACAAAAGATTAGAATTTCTCTTCCAGACATTACCATCTAGCATTAAAATAATAAAAAAATAATTATTAGCTCAATATCACAAATAATAAGAATTCAATAATATATAAAATATGCCATTTGCAATTGCTTTGGATACAAAAGTAAACAATTCAAGTAGAAAAGCCATTCACTTTGCCAAGCTATTTACGACATAAAAAATTTAAAATCAACTTACTTTTAATTCAAACAATGCAATTGAAGTTGTATTGCATATATCTTTGACTAGAGATTCTACCTATAATTAGAAATTGTAAACAAAAATATAAGCTAAAAGTATGATTTTTCATTCATTTATGAAAGAAGTCCATAAACAAGCAATATTCACATGTTGATTAATGCTCATAGTAAACTTTATGAAATATTAAACTCTGGTCTTAAGCCTTGTATGGCCTGATCATGAAGAAAGCTACATAAGCAATTATGTCCTTAATTATATGGTTTATCTTAGCTCAAGTTCAAATTTTGAGTTCATCAAAATGTATGAAATTCTCACCAAAAACAAAAAAAAAAAAAGAAAAGAGAATGATGCAATAATGACAAACAAATTTCTTTCTATCAAGAAAAAATTTGATAACAAAAATATTTTAAATTAAAATAACTCAATAAATTATCGTCTATACATGTAAAAACAAAGTCTATTGGTATGAATTCTACTAATTTTGCTTGCCTAATTAACATAGAGATTATATTACAATTCAACACCATAACTGCAAGGTTTAGGATTATTACATAATCGAAAAATTTTTTGAGATCAAGACCAATACTGCCAAATATAATTCCCTTTGCAAACCTTTGTGCACCAAAATTTTGTAGAGAAAATTATGTTTAATAAAAATGTAAAATATAGGGAGAAAATAGATTTAGGGTTTATAAGAGATTATAATTTAATAAAAAAAAAAAACCTTACACGTTCAATGTTTCAATTTTAAAAAATATATTTTTTATTTAAATTGTTATTTAAAAAAATATGATATGAAGCTGACATGTCATTGACATGGCATAAATATCTTTCTTAAAGAAATAAGTTAAAAGTACTCTTGTTAAAGAATAAAGATTTTAAAAAACCTTGCCGTTGGAAAAAACTCCTTTTCAATCACATTGACGGGAGGAAGTATGGTACTTTTACAGTTTGAATCCAAAGAAGATATGTTCAGCATGCTTGAGGGTGCAGAATATGGCTTGAAGAATGGTTCTTTTGGACAGTTGCCTTGGAGCCATGACTTAATAAGCTATGATAAATTTATTTGGCTCAAGCTGGAAAACATTCCGTTCTATGCATGTGCTATGAATTCTTCAGAAGGTTAGGAATAGTGGGGCACTTTCATCACAGTAGATGATAGTACCATGAGGAGAAGGCATTTAATGTTGCTAGAGTTTTAACCCTTGTTAGGAAAAGATGCTTTCATCCCAAACTTATTCACAATTCTGTTAAAAGGAAGCTCTTATAAAGTTAAAGTCACGTTGGAAGGATGTTACGATTTCCTACGGAATTCGGGGTGAAACAAACTGTTCAAACTAAAATCTAGTGCATCATCATCATCAAGCTCCAGTTCTTTTGAAAATAACACAGTGACAGGTTTCCGTGAAGAAGAAGAATGGTCAGGTTGGGAGCATGGGGCTCCGAACAGACAAAGCGTGAATGCATTCTCGAATCAACTTGCTTCGAAACTCGTTGGCCTGAGAAAACGAAAAGATAATGAAACCTTGGGAATGGATGACACAGCTGTGGTTGACGGTCAGAAGCAGTCAAATTCAAACAAGTCATATGCCCAAGACAAGGCTGAAGTGGTTGGGTGGATTATCAATGCCAATGATAAGTAAATAATTGGTGAAGAAAGATTATGCTCTGATGAGGACATACATTCTCCTGTTAAAGTCTAAATAGGTAATGATCATAGGTCTGCTCATGACCCAGATTCCACAACTGGGTCACATACTAGTTTTGGGCTTGAATTAGGCAAAGAGAATGATGCGGGCCAGCATAAATCAGAAAATAGCAAAGGAGTGTTGGGCTGAAATCCAAAATGGGACTTGGATAGAAGAAGATGTGGAAAATGTTGAGAAAGTTTCTGATATAGATCTGGGTAGCATGGCTCTGGAAAACCGTGGAAAAACCCAAAGTGGAAGAAAAGGTGCATTGTGACTGAGCATCCCACCACCTTAAAAGGAGTTTTAATAAAAAAAACTCCTTTATTTTTTATATTTTTTAATGAAGAAAGTTAAAACAAATGAAAGAAAGAAGCTGATAATGCTTACTCAATGGCTTTAAAAATGTTCAAAATTAATCAAAATCGATAAAATTTAACTTATAAATTTTGTCCTGATACAATAAATAATCAAAATATTTCTTTTTTTAATGAGCAATTTGAAACGTAAATACGAATCATGTGGAATATTTGAATTTTGATCCAATTGTATTTGTGTTATAATCATATCGACACATTTATCACATAAAAATGTTTGAATTTGATGTGAGTTTGACCAATTTAACATATACATCACACAAAATTAATCTTATTCGTATATATGTTAATTTATATAATGATTTTTATATCTGACACTTAAACATGACATTCACATCTTATCGTGACTTTCACTGTTCTACATGCAAAACGTTCATTATGGGTTAGTTATTAACAGGAACAGCAAGATAAAATTTGTAAAGTCAAATCAAAATAAAAAATAAAAAAACCCACGTAAATTAATTATAAGATCCAATTAATAAACCATAGGTGTTAAAGTTCAAAAGATTTCTTAATAAACTTTGATATTTTTATTTAAATTTGTGATGTAGCTATAAGTTATGGTAATTTTTTTTTATTGTTAATCAATTATTGATTAACTTTTTTTTAATTTTTGTTTAATTAATTTTCAAATATGATTGATTTACTTAATAAGTTTTACTAATCTATCAATTTTGGTTAGAAATGCCAAAATGAACATACAAGAAAAAAAAAACTCAACCAAAACAATTCGAATCTAATAAAACTTGAATTTACTTGATTCAAAAATCCAAAATATTTAAAATTATATGTAACTCAAATTCAAAACAATCTGCACCATAACATTGATTTGACCAAAACATGCAATGATCTAAATTAGAATTATCGACTTTTATTAATTGCCAAATTTGATTTAAGTCAAATTCAAGACAATCCGACTAAAAAATATCCAAATCTAAAACAGATATTTTAGCAAGTGAAACGCCACTAAATGACCTTAGGCTCGGAGGTTCAAAAGTCAATGTTTTCCTGCATGATAGGGCTCATCCAGCTCGGATTTGGAGTTGGGCTCGTGGAGCAATATGTAATACCAGATATCGTGGGCGAAGCATAAAGGGTTTCTTGGTCTTGATTTTCCAACGGTCCTAGAAAAGGCACTAAATGTGAGCCTAGAGTACAAGTGTGCCTTCCGTGGTAAGTGATCTCAAAGATTGTTGGATCGTCATCAGATCGCTGAACTTGCTTTTGAGCCAGACAACCTTGTACATTTCCGGATATGCACCACTAATAGCTTCTGTAATAAAGAAAAAAAAAGGATGGTCATTGGTTAAGCTATGATTTTACATGTAGAATAGTGGTTATACAGCTAACTGTTCAATGATAGAAGAAGAAAAGAACAGCTAAATCCAGTTAAATTTGTCATCATGCTCTAGTATATATGAGTTCAGGCAAAGCTCAATGGCAAGAATATGAGGAAAAATTTATGAATTACAGGCAGGAAAGCTTTAACCAGTGACATGTTGACAACAGATAAGGTCAGGCTTTTAGGACTGCCAAAAGACTCTGCATGTTTTAGAATTGAAATGGACCAAATATCAATTGCTAATTATTCTCGTGGAGCATTACTTAATATATATACATATATAGAGTATAGATTTGCATTATGCTTTTGTTCTTATGCATTACAAAAGGAAAATTCTCAAACCTTGTATATTTTGATCCGAGAATTTCTTTCTGTTCATATTTCCTCCAAGAGAAGCCATCGTCTGGAGGTACCTCCAAGCCCGTAGATGGAACTCGGATTAGTTCCGTCCATCTTGACAGAGTTTTTCTGCAACATAGCAATCTATTGCATGAAATGACTTGGAAGTTGGGACAAGGCTTGATTAACGAGTTGAGTTGAGTTGAGTTGTGTTGTAAAGTGCTTGTGTTTTATCTATACCTTTTCTTGGAGTCATCTTCGAGCTCCTGTTCCTCGAAATCACAGTCATGGACCTCACTCTGGGGAGTACTTCCAATACGAGGAGGTTGTGACTCTGACATTCTGATTGCTTGTTCTGAGGGCTGTGCCTCTGCCACCAAAGAGGTATTGCAGTTCAGCATTGAAAATGCTTTACAATACGTGGACAATACAGAACAGGTTCCTTGGTCTTGATTTTTCAATGGTCCTGGGGAAGGCACTACATGTGAGGCTAGAGTACAAGTATGCCTTCCACAGTAAGTGATCTCAAATATTGTTGGGTCATCATCTGATCGCTTTACTTGCTTTGTAGCCCAACAATTTTGTACATTTCGGTGGGTGCACCTGTAGTAGGCTCTGTAATAAAAAAAGGACGGTTATTGGTTAAGCTAGGATTTTACATGTTTAATAATGGTCACACATCTAACTCTTCAATGATAGAAGAAGAAAAGAATATGTAAATCCAGCTAAATTTGTCATCATGCTCTAGTATATGACGTCAGGCAAAGCTCAATGGCACTACTATGCAGAAACATTTATATGTTGCGGGCAGGAAAGCTTTAATCAGTGACATGTTGACAACAGATAAGGTCAGGCTTTATGACTTAGGACTCTGGTAAAAGGCTCTGCATGCTTTAGAATTGAAATGGACCAAATATCAATTGCTATTATTCTCCTGGAGAATTAGTTAATATATATATATATATGTATACAGAGTATAGATATGCATTATGCTTTTGTTCTTATTCATTACAAAGGGAAAATTCTCAAACCTTGGATATTTTGTGCCGAGAACTTCTTTTTGTCCACATTTTCTCCAAGAGAAGCCATCGTCTGGAGGTACCTCCAAGCCTGTAGACGGAACTCGGATTAGTTCCGTCCATCTTGACGGAGTTTTTCTGCAACATAACAATCTATTGCATGAAATGACTTGGAAGTTGGGACAAGGCTTGATTAACGAGTTGAGTTGAGTTGAGTTGAGTTGAGTTGTATTGTAAAGTGCTTGTGTTTTATCTATACCTTTTCTTGGAGTCACCTTTGAGCTCCTGTTCCTCGAAATCACAGTCATGGACCTCACTCCGGGGAGTACTTCCAATACGAGGAGGTTGTGAGTCTGACATTCTGATTGCTTGTTCTGAGGGCTGTGGCTCTGCCACCAAAGAGGTATTGCAGTTCAGCATTGAAAATACTTTCCAATACGTGGACCGTACAGAAGAGGTTCCATGGTCTTGATTTTCCAATGGTCCTGGGGAAGGCACTACATGTGAGGCTAGAGTACAAGTATGCCTTCCGTGGTAAGTGATCTCAAATATTGTTGGGTCATCATCTGATCGCTGTACTTGCTTTGTAGCCATACAATCTTGTACATTTCGGTGGGTGCACCTGTAATAGGCTCTGTAATAAAAAAAGGATGGTTATTGGTTAACCTAGGATTTTACATGTATAATAATGGTCATACATCTAACCGTTCAATGATAGAAGAAGAAAAGAATATGTAAATCCAGCTAAATATGTCATCATGCTCTAGTATATATGACGTCAGGCAAAGCTCAATGGCACGAATATGCAGAACATTTATATATTGCAGGCAGGAAAGCTTTAATCAGTGACATGTTGACAACAGATAAGGTCAGGCTTTATGACTTAGGACTCAGGTAAAAGGCTCTGCATGCTTTAGAATTGAAATGGACCAAATATCAATTGCTATTATTCTCCTGGAGTATTAGTTAATTTATATACATATATAGAGCATAGATATGCATCATGCTTTTGTTCTTATTCATTACAAAGGGAAAATTCTCAAACCTTGGATATTTTGAACCAAGAATTTCTTTTTGTCCACATTTTCTCCAAGAGAAGCCATCGTCTGGAGGTACCTCCAAGCCTGTAGACGGAACTCGGATTAGTTCCTTCCATCTTGACAGATTTCTTCTGCAACATAACAATCTATTGCATGAAATGAATTGGGAGTTGGGACAACGCTTGATTAACGAGTTGAGTTCAGTTGTATTATAAAGTGCTTGTGTTTTATCTATACCTTTTATCGGAATCATCTTTGAGCTCTTGTTCCTTGAAATCACAGTCATAGACCTCACTCCAGGGAGTACTTCCAATAGGAGAAGGTGGTGACTCTGACATTCTGATTGCTAGTTCTGAGGGTTGTGGGTCTGCTGCCAAAGAGGTATTGGACTAAGAATTCATAAGTTTCATGAGAACAAGTTTTATGAATACTTTAAAATGTTTGGCAGGCATACATGCATGCATAGCATGTTGTTTTATAATTTAGTCAGCAATACTCCTAAAATGTTTAGCATGAACTTTCTAAAATGGCAGAATATGCATCAGCTGATTTTCTGCTCTTGACTAAATGAGAGTACCTTTGGATTAAACTAGGAAATGCTGATAAAATATCCTCCCAAAGACTCGAATTGAATAATTACCTGATTGTTGAGATTCATCTCGAATCAAAGCTTCAGGAATACCTTCATATTCTGCCAATTTCAAATGCATCAATAGAAGCACACTGGCTTTCCAAATAAACAGCAAAATAGGGATAAATAAATCTGGCAAGTGTCAATAAATGGATTGGATTATCCAGGCCCTGCACAAATTCAAGTGCATGCAATCCTTTTGGTTTTTTATTTAATATTAACCCTCAACTTGTAATATGACAAGGGTGATTCATATTTCAAGAAATGTTCATCATTTAGATATAGCTGTCTTTCTCTATCTGCATCTAGACTTAGTTGACAGGAAAAAAAAATTAGAAACCTTAAAGTTCAGAAGAATTAATTACCTGGTTGTACACCTATATCTTGTATTGGTGCTTCAAATACATCTTCATAACCTGCCAATTTCAAATGCACCAGACATTACTAACAGTTTTTCTCAAACAACCGTTTTTTTAGGCATTGAATGTGTAATGTTTCTGACATAATTTCTAGTGCAACCAAATGAGAGAAACAGAACAGTTGAGCACATTCCTCCACTGCTACCCTCTTTATGGTACAATTTATGAGATAACTCATTTTATTCTTTTTTCAGATTTACATTTAATTTCTCCCTAAGCATTTATATACACACACTTGCGAGAAATGATGTATCAGGTTGCATAAATGTTGCAAACTCCAACATGATTTAGGATATGCCAGTGAAAATTTCTGATTTAGGTATTAACCATCAACTTATAATTACAAAACAGAGAGGATAAAATCATTCCTATTAATGCAGGATTCGAGATTCAATGAACATCATTGCTCTCTAATTTGCATCAAAATTGATCATATGATGATCAAGGAAGGATACTGCCTCCCTACCTTTTGTAGGGCTGATAGTCTTAGCTGAATCAGCAGCATCTTCCATGTAATTCGCCCTATGATCATTACAAAGTCGAGTGTGCAAATTATACAATCTCATGTTATAACAGCCATGGTTATGTACCCCTTCATAGGTGGTGATCAAAAAGCTTGTATCTTGGTAGTCTCGCTCAAACCTTTTCTTCGCTGGACAACCCATTGTCGAACATTTGTAGTAGCACCTATACAGAGTGAATAAAGGCACGGAAAAAGTAATAATTATATCAACAAAACTGTTTAGCAACTTCAGAACTTCCTTAACAATATTAGGTGAAGTAATCACCTTGGATGGGGATTTCCCTGGACAGATTTCTTTTTCTTTCCATATTTCCTCCATCTATAGCCATCATCAAGTACCACACTGTTGCTTCTGGTTCGAACTGCAACTCTATGCCCTCTTGTAGTTTTGCTCACAGGACCTATGACACCCTTGTTTTCATTCTCAGTACAGTTGCTGCAAAATGTTAAACCACGCCATTAAAATTCTCCTTCATAAAACCTTACCCACAAGCTTAATTATATTTAACCAAACCACTTGCATAATTGACTTCCATATGTTCAATTTCATCCTTGGTGTGAGGACTGAAAGACATTTAAAGGTGTTTTACATTGGAGGAACAGGGACTGCAAACAGAGCAAAATAACCCTTCTGGTTTAAGGAAGTGAAGGGCACTACTGTTGGATAAAAATGGTTAAATAGTAATACGTATAAGTAACACTAGAGAACAGCAATGTCTACTTCACAGAGTACATCAATAAAAATGCTTAACTGACCTTCTTTTGGCCTTAGGTTCATCTTCATCAACGTCTACTTCACAAATTTCTGCAGCCTGATCAAAGTAACAATCTTCTAGCCTCTTGTTCTTCTCTGATGAAAAAAAGCTCAATGCTTGTTTTGGTGCCTGAAATTTGAACAAATTCAGTGTAATGATAATGGAGAATCAAGGCTGAAAAGTAAGATTTGTTTCAAATTAACAAAATCAAATTACATACACTTTAAATTATGGTTGTTGAAGGTTAAGATATCCTTGTGGGGATGACTATAAATTATAATCATGCTCGTCACTACGAGGATTGTTTATAAAATCAGAGAATTCTGCTATAATTTTTTTTAAAATTGTAATTAGATATACCTACCTGTATGTAATTAAAACAATGGATAAAAAATTTAATCAATCCAGTAAAGCCTATTGCCATCATTGTAAACAAAACATCACTATTAACATCCACGTTCTGATTTCTCTATTTTTGTTAAATTTAGTCCCTCTGCTTCAATTGCAAATATCCTTTTACTTTCATAAAAAGTTGATTACAGTTAAATCCTTAACACTATTAAGGATAGGCCTTAACTCGTTAAGTTGATCAATTTGACCCTGACATGCCATGCCATCTTGAAAAAATTTTTGCCCCACAACACACAAAAAATGGCACAAAAAAGAATTTAAGTTCCAAATTCTTGAAGCAATTGAGATAAGTCTCGGGTTCAAAAAGAATTTAATAGCACAAAATATATGTAAAATTTTAAAAAGTTGCAATAAAAACAAACAAACAAAGAGAGGAGAAGGAAAGAGAGAAATTCAGAAGGGGAAGGGGATGCGGTACAAATCTGACTTATGTCGCCCAGACTGACTTCAATATGAGGGATCAAACCTAGACTTGGACCAAAATATAACAAAATTCGGACCGCTTGGCTATATATACTTGTATGGTTATGCATATCCAAGATTTACACAGTTTTTCTGTTTAAAAGAAAAAGGTAATCTAGATAAAAAATAAATAAAAAAAATCATTAAGACACAAGTATTCAAAAAAATTACAATGACAAACAAAAACAATCAAGATAGTTCAATTGCTAAATTAAGTTTAATATTTTGAATAAGTTGTACACAACAATATTTAGGGTTTCATTTCTTAACCGGCCAAGCAAATTGTCAAGTTAAAGCTTCTAATTTCATGGTTTAAGAAGATCCAGCATTTCCAGTCAGAATGACGGACCGTCAAGATAGTAAAACTAAAAACCCATATAAAACAAAAGATTGTAAGATAAAACAATGTATGTTGTGTTTGGTTGCTCTGTATATTGATATATACTTACATCAAACGTCCTCAAAGGATTGAATGGAAGTATACATGACGAAGAGGAATTTGTCAAGTCCGTCCCCGTCCATGAATTGGATGGAAGTATGCATGCCGAAGGACACTTTGTCACGTTTGTTCCAGTCAATGGATTGGATGGAAGTATGCATGACGAAGGGGACTTTGTCACGTCTGTTCCCGGTATTCTCTCCTCCTTATAATCTAACAGTAATGAACCGCAATTACCTAAAACGGTTAAGGACACCAAAAATAAGAAGAGTCAGTCTCATAAGGGTTGCAAAGAAAAATTACCTGAGCACTGGTGTTTATGATCTTCTGTTGAAACTTCAAGCAACTTTTCATCATCTACCAATATTCAAAATGAGCAATGTTAAAATCTTCGCTTCTCATCAGTTGTTAGCAAACTTTTTCTTTTACGTTATGACTCGGCTTTGGTCTCTTCCAATTAGTTTTTTTAGGATGATAATAAAATTTTACTCATGTTATCATGAAAAAAAAAAAAAAAGTTGGGGACTCATGTTATCCAGAAAATAAAAAGTTCATGCACTAATTAAATTGCTCTCACACATAAGCTAATGATTAATAAAATAAAAAAAAAATAAAACTGAGATTAAAAGATATATTACCTTGTTGTTGGCCTTCATTTTGTATGGTAGCATCAAGTAGATCCCTGTCTTCAGTCAATTGAGTCATAACATCTTTCTCATTTCTGATAGGGGTAAAGATACGCATCAGATAATCTGGCCGAGTTCCCCGCTCTGTTTCATTCCAATTCAAATCTTCCCACCACTGACATTCTCCTTTGATTATCTTCAAAGTTTTGCTTGACAATTCCATTTTTGATAGGCTTTTAAGCTTCGGGCAATTATAAAATCCTATGCTTTCTAATTTTGGTGCTATTAATAGACCATTAGAAATGCTGATCAATCCAGGAAGGTAGAGAAGCAGCAATCTTTTCAAACTAGGGAGAAATTTATTTGACATCATTGGCTTGACAGATGCATGGCTTACCAGGCTGGTGACTTGCGGGCAGTCCTCTACGATAATCTCCTCCAAGTTGACAAAATTTTCAAGCAAAGTATGAGAGAAAATATTTCTCAGCTGGGGGCATGTATGCAGGGCTAGGAATTTCAACTTAGACATACATCCATAACGATTTCGTCCTCTCCAAATACTCCATAAATTCTCCATGTAATAAATGCTCAAATATTCTAGAGATTCAAGCAAATGTTCTGCAGAACCAAGGTCAGATTTAGATTGATCATCTTCATTTCTTTCATCATTAATCTCTCCATCAATAAGGGTTTCCATCTTATTACACTCTGCCAACAAGCAAAATTTTAGCCCCTTCATATTCTTGATCCCAAATTCAGATAGATTCATAGCGGTTGCATGGTTGTCCAAGAAAAATGAGGAAGAATATTTGAGTACCGCTTCTATTTCAATTGGGATGTTTTCACCATTCACAAACTTCAAGCATTTATCCCAATTTCTGAATTCTGCTTCAACTTCATAAGGTACACGAGACACGATTCTATTTTTACGATGGCCAACAGTAAAACTGAAGTGGGACAATGAAGGATATATCAATGATAAATTATCCAAAAGTTGGAATTTTGGCAGGTGCAAGCTAAGAGTCTTCAATGTTTTTGAGTTGCATACTTCCTTCACAACGGCTTCCACCAAATCATCCCACCTCTTGTCTGCCGGATTCACTTCAATGCTTAATTCAGCAAGTTGCGAGAGAACTGATATTGTCTCAGGGTGAATCACAAAGTTTGATTTCGACTTCTTTTTGCCACAGCTATGATAAAATGATACTCTCAAATGACTTAACTTGACTAGCTTTCCAATCTCACTTGGCAGATCCATGATCTGAGTTTCATCAAGATAAAGCTCCTCGAGATTTTTGAGTTTCCCAACCTGAGGTGATAGTTCCATGAAGAGTTCACAACCTCGTAACCAGAGCTTTTTCAGTGAAACCAACTTGGGAAGAGATTTTGGCAAAGATTTGATGCTAGTATGGGACAAATCTAATACTTGGAGAAGGGCCATGCGCCGAAAGAATTGGGGAGGAATAGCTGTCAGCTTATAATTCCCTTGCAAATACAATGCAATCAATGAAGAGCAATATGGAGATTTTGGTAGTTCAAACACATTATGTTTATCATCCGTTAAATGGATCTCTTTGGCAGCCCATTCTTCTTCCTTTCGCAGCTTGGGCAATCCTGACCCACTTGCCATAGGAACAGACTGCTGCATTTTGGCTGAATTATGATGCACGCTCTCAGTCAAATCCAAAAGATCTTGCCTCACAAAATACTCTGTTTGTAAAGCATCAATTACAATTTGAAGAGTAGAATATAATCTCCTTCATCATGCATATAGACCAAATAATCTTTTGAGCGATTAAGAAAAAAAAGTTTAGTTAATTACCACTACCCCTATAAAGAGTATAATCTCCATGTAAATTTTTTTTCTGTAATATTCATAGAAAAATATTTTTGCAGTTCAATATTTCAAACAAATAAATTGACCTAAGAGAAATAAAAAGGTATGGTACATTTTTCTTTCTTCCACACCTATCACCATTATTTCCTATCGGAATTACAACAAGCTAAGTATAAACCTATGCATTTGCATTGTAAAGCAGAAATTGCAATAAACTCCAAAACTACCATTGACTACGGAGTATGACTTGAGAAATTAAAGAACAGTTCTTGCTTTAATTAAAAAAAAAAAAAAAAAAAACTAAGGTCAAAAGATATATTACCTTGTTGTTGGCCTACATTTTGTATGGTAGCTTCTAGTAGATCCCTATCTTCTGTCAATTGGGTCATAACATCTTTCTCATTACTGATAGGGGAAAACATATGCATCAGATAATCTGGCCGATTTCCCCACTCTGTTTCATTCCAATTCAAATCTTCCCACCATTGACGTTCTCCTTTGATTATCTTCAAAGTTTTGCTTGACAATTCCACTTTTGATATGCTTTTAAGCTTCGGGCAATTATAAAAGCCTATGCTTTCTAATTTTGGTGTTATTAATAGACCATTAGAAATGCTGACCAGTCTAGGAAGGTAAAGAAGCAGCAATCTTTTCAAACTAGGAAAAAATTTATTTGACATCATTGGCTTGACAGATGCACGGCTTACCAGACTGGTGACTTGGGGGCAGTCCTCAACAATAATCTCCTCCAAGTTGACAAAATTTTCAAACAAAGTACGAGAGAAAATATGTCTCAGCTGGGGGCACGTATGCAGCGCTAGGAATTTCAACCTAGACATACATCCACAACGATTTGGTCCTCTCCAAAGACTCCATAAATTCTCCATGTAATAAATGCTCAAATATTCTAGAGATTCAAGCACATGTTCTGCAGAACCAGTGTCAGATTCAGATTGATCATCTTCATTTCTTTCGTCATGCATCTGTCCATCAATAAGGGTTTCCATCTTATTACACTCTGCCAACAAGCAAAATTTTAGCCTCTTCATATTCTCGATCCCAAATTCAGATAGATTCATAGCGGTTGCATGGTTGTCCAAGAAAAATGAAGAAGAATATTTGAGTACCGCTTCTATTTCAATTGGGATGCTTTCACCATTCACAAACTTCAAGCATTTATCCCAATTTCTGAATTCTGCCTCAACTTCATGAGGTACACGAGATATGATTCTCCTTTTATGATGGCCAACTGTAAATTTAAAGTGTGGCAATGAAGGATATATCAATGATATATTATCTAAAAGTTGGAATTTTGGCAGGTACAAGCTAAGAGTCTTCAATGTTTTTGAGTTGCATGCTTCCTTCACAACGGCTTCCACCGAATCATCCCACCTCTTGTCTGCCGGATTCACATCAATGCTTAATTCAGCAAGTTGCGAGAGAACTGATATTGCCTCAGGGTGAATCACAAAGTTTGATTTCGACTTCTTTTTGCCACAGATATGATAAAATGATACTCTCAAATGACTTAACTTGACTAGCCTCCCAATCTCACTTGGCAGATCAATGATCTGAGTTTCATCAAGATCAAGCTCCTCGAGATTTTTGAGTTTCCCAACCTGAGGTGATAGTTCCATGAAGAGTTCACAACCTCGTAACGAGAGTTTTTTTAGTGAAACCAACTTGGGGAGAGATTTTGGCAAAGATTTGATGCTAGTATGGGACAAATCTAATACTTGGAGAAGGGCCATGCGCCGAAAGAATAGGGGAGGAACAGCTGTCCGCTCATAATTCCCTTGCAAATACAACGCAATCAATGAAGAGTAATTTGGAGATTTTGGGAGCTCAGACACTTTATGCTTATCATCCGCTAAATGGATCTCTTTGGCTGCCCATTCTTCCTTCTTTCGCAGTTCGGGCAATCTTGACCCACTTGCCTTAGGAAAAGACTGCTGCATTTTGGCTGAAGTATGATGTATGCTCTCAGTCAATTCCAAAGGATCTTGCCTCACAAAAGACCCTGTTCGTAAAACAATAATTACAATTTGAAAAATAGAATATGATCTCCTTCATTATGTATATAGACCAAATAATCTTTGAGCAATTGAGAAATAAAAGTTTAGTTAAATACCATTACTCCTACAAAAAGACATGTAATCTCCATGTATATTTTTCTGTGATAATCATAGAAAAATATTTTTGCAGTTCAATATTTCAAACAAATAGATTGACCTAAGAGAAATAAAAAGGTATGGTATATTTTTCTTTATTCCACACCTATCACGATCATTTCTTATTGTAATTACAACAAGCTAAGTATAAACATATGCATTTGCACTATAAACCAGAAATTGGAGTAAACTCCAAAACTACTATGGAGTATGACTTGAGAAATTAAAGAACAGTTCTTGCATATTTTTTAGCCTAAACTATTTAAATATTTCCTTTTACTAGCAAACGAACAAAACCCCACAATCAGCAAATCTCAGGTTGAGAAGGCCTTAATCATTATTATTTACCCGTTTAAATACGACTCGAACTATTAAATTAATGGTGTTATCCTAAATCTATTAAAGTTCAAAATTTAAAGACTTATTTTGGAATTCAAATCTTAGTAGTTATAATATTCAAGTTCTATCAATTTTTAAATATATGGTAATGTATAAAGTAAATTACATCATTAGTCGTTTAATTAAGTTTGTTAAACTTTCTATTTTTACCGATAATATTATTATGTTAGATATATAATTTTTGGTGCATGTGCTACATAGGCCTTATCCTTGAAACATCCGGGAAGTCTGCTTTTAAACAATTTATCTAAGGTAGAGGGAGAATCAAATAACTTAACAACAGTAAATTCACTTTCTTGAGCATAACTTGCTAAAAAATCTTCATAAAAATTGTTATCTTTATAAATGTAAACAAGAGAAAAATTCCAACCCATGAAGAATAGACATAAATAAGCATGAATAACCTAATAGAGAAGATCATTATCATGCAGTGGCTGTGGAATTAGATATATAATCTATTATCATCTTCTCTAACAGGGCACCTGTCATGTAAACATTTTTTCCCTCTTAAAGAAATTATAAATGATTTTTATATTAATTGTCCTGATTTTCTTTGCTTTCATCTTTTCTAATTTGCAAAGGTTAACTTTTTTTATTTTCTTGTATGTTAGCATCAAATTAGTAGGGAAAAAGATGCAAATATGGCAGTTTCAATGACTTTATGTTATAAAGTTTAATTCAGAGAAACAATAGAGTGTCAAAAATTAGAAATTTAAGAACTACATATCGATTTTTGTGATTTTTATTTTGATTAGTTCAATTGTGAAAAAACATTATTTAATTTATAAAATTTAATTTTTTATTAACTCTTAAGAATTGATGGAGGTGACTTTCATTTGTCCCAGGTACGGTGATATCATCCCACACGCCAAGTTGGCATCGAACATGATATGGCAAAACTAAAAAGAAAGAAGAGAGAGAATGTTCGAATCCAAAACCTGATTGTTTGCTCTGGAGTAAGTGCTTATCCAAAACGAGAGTTCACAGAAATGGCTCTCCCCTCTTTAATCCCACCACTGTCTCTTTTCTTCTCTAGTTTCTTCTTGTTCAACATCCTTGCCCATCGTTGTGTCACCACCAAGTAACTCACTCTTACTTTTAACTTGATCTTCTCTAGGGTTATTCGTCAAACACTACGTGGACAATTAGAGGCATTTGATAGTTTGTTTTAATGTAAACATTCTTGTCTAGGTTTTATGCTTCACAGGACACAAATGTTTGAGAACTTTTCAGGTTGCAACTAAAAGCAATTGATCATCACTCCCTCAAAACGTTTAATTGGTCACATGACTGATGGTGAGCTGCAACCTCCAGCGGCAGGCAAGAAGGAAGCCTTGCCAGTGAAACAGCTGCCATTAGAGTTTAAGATGCAGTAGAAGACAGTGGTTCTTGCAGCCCAAAAACCTCCTTCCAACCAACACCTGTCATTAAGGGGATTTCAATTGCTATTATTATTTGGTCATTCCTTCCTTCACGGACAATTTTGGACACAAATATCAACGCCTTATGGAATTAAGTGGATTTGAATTTATGTCCAATCGTAATTGTGTGATGATGATGTTAACACATTTATCACGTAAAAATGTAGAAATTTTATGTGAGTTGATTAATCTAACATCTATATCATACACAATTAATTTTGTTCACACATTAATTCAATTTCACATTACAATTTCTATATCCACCGTTTAAATTAACTTAACATTCAACAGTTCACCATGACTTCCACTGTTTCCACATGCATGACGTCCATTATCGTTGATTTTTAGTTGGAAGAGCACCAAAGAATTTGTGAACTTCTCAATTACAAGTGGTAAAATCAAAATAAAAAGTCAAGATCAAAACCCATATATGGATTAATTATAAGATTCAATTAATAAATCACGTATGTTAAAATTCAAAAGATTTCTTAACAAATTTTAATATTTTTTTAAAAATTAATGATGTAGCTATATTTTTATTGTTAATCAATTATTGATTAATTTTTTATTAATTTTATGTGTAATTAATTCTTACATATGATTGATTTACTTAATAAGTTTTTCTCATCTATCAATTTTGATTTGATTGGAGATTGACAAAATCAACATAAGGATTTTCGTTTTTATTAGTTGACAAAGTTATTTTAAGTTGAATTCAAAACACTGTTATTAAAAAAAAAATCTAAATATAAAATAATTTGAATTCAAAATAATTTCATCCAAACTTTTTCATGTCTAATTTTAACTTTTAATTTTAATTTTTATTTATCACAATCTTCACTCAAAGAAATTAGTCTTACTGGCATGAGGAAAACTAACAATTAAGTATAAAAAATTATATCAATCCAGTAACGCCAATTGCTATCATAGTAAACAAAACATCACGGTTGACATCCCATTTTTCATTCCTCGATTTTTGCTAAATTTCGTCTCTCTACTTTCAATTACAAGTATTCATTAATTTCATAAAATGTTAATTACAGTTAAATCCTTAAAATTGTTAAGAAATGGCCTTAACTTGTCGATGTGGTCAATTTGACCAGACATGCCATGCCATAAAATTTTTTTCCCCGCAACACACATAAAATGGCACAAAAAAAAGATTTAAGCTCGGGGTTTGTGTCAATACGAGTGCTTCAGTTTTCGTTGATTATGTAACAAAGGGTTCAACCGGCTTGTGCTATTCTTTTATGGTTTCTAAATTTATGGTTATCTTGGTGCATATAATTGTTATTTTATTTATTTATACTGGATGTTGAGGAGAAGCCTAGCATTTCGACATTATTGATGAATTTTGATAGTAAGTTTGATCCCTACGGTGCAATGAGTACCCCGGTTTACCGATCAGCTACATTTAAGCAGGTAAAGCCAATTGAAATATGCTAGCTTGTTGCATCTTTTACTAATTGTTTATCTATATGCAACATTCTGGGAAATTACGAAAAGAAAATTTAAGAACTTTCTGAATATATAGGATTTTAGGTTTTAGAGTTTAAATGATTCTGCTTAGTTTAATGATTCTCATGCAACAAGCTTTTGTATTTCTATTCATATACCGAACTTATAGCATACTAGGAAAATGCCAAATGTGTGATGAAAGTTTTTTTTTTTTAATTTTGTATTAATTAACATATTATAATCATGCAAATTTATAAATCATGAAATCTAGCAATTTTTTAGCTTAAGAAACATAAAAATCTTAGCGAATTTCATCAATAATTTTATTTTCTTTGAAGATCTTTGATAATTACTTTTACTACTTACTCTTTTTTTTTTGCTAAAATTAAAATCAAAATAAGCATTAAGAAATAAAAAGCAAATAATATTTTTAAAGAATAAAAAATTTTAAAAAATATTTTCTTTCACAACTTTAAACATATAATTTTACTTTTATATTGAACAAATATTTATAATTCAATGAATGTAATTTTGCATCCATACTTTAACACATATATAAGTCTATATAAATACAAGCACACCGGTTTACCAATCGGCTACATTTAAGCAGGTAAAGCCTATTGAAATATGTTAGTTTGTTGCATCTTTTACTAATTGTTTATCTATATGCAACAATCTGGGAAATTACAAAAAGAAAATTAAGAATATTCTGAATATATAGGGTGTTGGGTTTTAGAGTTTAAATGATTCTGCTTAGTTTAATTATTCTCATGCAACAAGTTTTTGTAGTTCGCTTCATATACCAAATTTATAGCATATTATGTCAATTCTGAAGATAATAGGCTGAACCATGACGAGTACTAAATGAGATGTGAGATGGCACATATCCAAGATTGATCTGGTTCCTGTATTTTATCTCGCTAATTTTGATTGGTTTTATCAGGCCTGCATTCTGACATCAGTTTTTTTTTTTTTTTTTCACCACATAATGCATATTGCTTTCTATGGAAAATCCATAAAGTATAAGTCTAGATACTAACACTATGTTTGGATTGAGAGGAGGGGAAGAAAAGGAAAAGAAAATAAAAGAAAGTAATAGAAATAGAAAAACCTTTTTTTTTATTGGATAAATTTTTAATTTAAAAGAAAGAAAAGAAATGGAAACTTATTAACCTTTGATTTCTTTTGTAATCCTCACTTTTTTAATATCCCAATTTGGAGGGAAAACTATAAAAAGGAAAGTTTGAAAAAATTTTATTTTTATAAAAAGACTATTATATTTATCTTTTTATTAATATTAAAACCTAGTAAAAAAAAAAACAAAAAAACCTAACTATATCACAATTTTCTGTAATTTTTTCAAAGTCATCTCTTTTTTCAAGTTTCATATGTCTTTTCTAATATAAAAATTTTTTTATAATTTTTTGATTATTTGATTTTGATGAATTATTGAATATGAATAAACATATTTTTTGAGTTTATGCGATATTGGACTAACTCAAATTTCTTTATTTTTATATGTAATATGTCATAATATATAAATCTGTAAATCTATAGCTAGACTTAACAAATAAAGTCATCACCAATCTTTCTTAATTAGGTGTGATTGGTCACCTAAAGCATTTATCATTTTAAGGAGTTTCTAAACTTAAGTAAAGGTCTCAAAAAAAATAGATTTGGGTCTACTAACCAAATAGAATTCAGAAGTTCGGTTACATATGAGAAAGGTTATATCACCCCCACATGCTCATCCAAAGGATTGTATCATTTTATTTTAAATTTATCCTAAAATCTCGATTCTAATGGTTTTAAATTTTAATGTTAAATATTGAAAATAACTTTTAAGATTCTTCCATCAATCTAGTAGAATTCTTAAAAATATTTTCTCACATCAAGAGTATTCAAGAAATTTATTTGCTTTCTTGAAGAGGCTCTGTCATCGAAAAAAGATTTAATCATTTTTATATTTAAGAATTTTATTAAAAATATATCTAATTATTTCACCATTTTGGCCAAATTAGAAATATCTTTTCACCTAAAAATTTTTTAAATAATCAATCATTTGCGATTATTAAGAATTTTATCATCAAAAGTTATTTTTATTTATTATTTTCTAAATCTTTCACCATTTGGGACAATTTAAAATTTTTTTTTATTTTTTTAATTTTTAGGATAAAATACAATTATTTTTATTGAAGTTTCATCTAAATTATTTCACCATTTGAGATAAATTTAGAGAAATTTCTCACCTAAAATTTTTTTAGAAAATTTATCATTTGCGATTACTAAGAATCTCATCATTGGGTAATTACTATTTAATTTTAAAATTTTTATTAAATTTTAATTTTTAATTTTTTAATTTTTGTTTGTTCAAATTGAAAACAAGTATTAATTATTGATATTGAAACTTTCTCTAAATTACTCTACCATTTGAAATAAATTTAGAAAAAATTTCTCACCTAAAAATTTCTTAGAAATTTGTCATTTAAAATTTCTAAAAATTTCATCATTGGATAATTATTATTTATTCTCAAAAAACATTTTTATTCTTATTTTATATTTCTATTTTTCCTAAACTTAATCATGCAAAAAATACCCCTAAAAATAAACAAACACATAAATAAAGTAACTAAAAAAATAAAAATACCAAACAAAAGGGCTCGATTGGAATGGCTTGGCACAACTCGACTCTAGGCACAGAAAATGGCTTAGTGACTCGGCTCGACTTGGCTCAGCCTAAGAATCAATTGGAATACAGGTCGACAGAAACGGGTTATGCTTGGGTCATGTCACCCGAGTACAAACACGCAGATCCTAGTGGGTTTGTTAAAGCCAAAACGATGACGTTTTGGTAAGGGTATAAAAGCCTAAACTCAATTTTTTTAACCATATTTCATTTACTCTCTCTCTCTCTTCTCTCTCATTTCTCTCCCTCTATCTTTAAACTTCTTAAGAACACCGGTTGAATCTTCATCAGATTTTGAGATTTATGTCAAAATCTGGGTTGGTTCTCCAAAATCTAGCTGAAAGTTCACCAGTTTCTGGAAAAAGGATGTTAAAAACTAAGAACCTTGTCAGAAACTAAGGATCTCGTCGGAAAGTCATCGAAAAATCAAACGGCACAAAAAAATTTTCTCAAAATCTGAAAATTTTCCAAAAAATTCTTTGAAAAAAACTTTATTTTTTCCCCAAAAATTCCATAATAAATTTCTGACTGCTTTTGTAAGTGTTTTGCTTTCTATTTTTTTGTATCTATGTTGCTGTATTTCTCTTTGTGTTTTTTGTATATCTCCTTTATTGGATTCAACCCTGTATTTATAAAATGTAATTAGAAGAGTTTCTGATTAACTATAAATCCACTGTTGATAGGGTTTCAAGATTATCATAAATATAAATTTATCCCATATAGATTAAATCCACCTAAAACTCTTTCAACCCCAATTCACGGCCAAAATCCTCATTATTTTTATTTTTATTTTTAATTTTTCTATTATCCCATTATCTTAACACCAGAAAAATTAAAGATAAATCAGATAAGAAAAATCGACTAAAAATTAGATATAATAATAATAATAATCAACCAAAAAGATAAGCCCAAAAATAAATAAATAAATAAGTAAATAGATAAATAAATAAATAAAATGTAAAATAATTACTATACTTGAAAATCTAGACCTTATTGAACCAGACACAATGGGTTTAGG